TTTTCAGAACTAATTTGCATATTTTAACTAATTTGCATATGAAGATGTGCGTAAAAAAATTGGCGACTCATTTTATTGGATTCAGCATACTTCAAAGTATATATTCCATCCAAAAAACTAAAATGATCACAAAAATCCCACGGGAGCCCATTTTTCGACATATGCCCCCGGACTATGCTGTAAAGGCTTATTTAATTGATTTTATAGATAGATTTCAAGGTCTATGCAAAATATTGTGGCAGTAAAAAAAAAAAAAAATTCCTAACCTATACCCTATATTTTGGGGCCTGTTACACCAATATAAAATAAAAAACATACATCAAAATGTTGTACAGGTTTTCTAACAATGCAACATACATGCCCTAGATGCATTCAATGCAATCCATGTATTATTAATTACATAATTTAATTTGATAATTAAAGACAATTCTTGGAGAACGCATCATTCTTGCTGATCCTGGTAACAAATCCTGCAGTAATGGACAGGAATGCCTTATATTTGTCACATTAACATAACCCACTGATCAACAATAATGAACAATAAATGAATTCAAAGTGTTTAATAAAATGTATGATTTGTGCATTTTATATTAGTTTTGAGTGGTTACAATACTCTGTTCTTTCTAAACTAAACCTTTAAAACTGGTGGTATTCATTATCTAAACTGATAAATTCTTTTACATGTAAATTATTAAAAATATAAATAAATATATATTCAATTTTGAATTTAACCGCCCCAGTTAGAATTTAACCGCCAGTTACATGGCCTATTAACATATAGAACAGAACAAATAAGAATAATAAAGTAAGTATGAGATAGCACATAAGCCTGCGATTGTGTTTTCCTGATTTCAGCATCTGATCAAATCTCTTCACGGTTCCTCCAAGTAACCCATGCGTACTATCAAATTCACCATCCTGACAAAATAGCAACAAACATTACAGTAATGAGAAAAATATCGAACAAAAATTATAACAATGTTGATCACATCAAAATAGGAATGGCGGTGATGAGAATGATGATCTAAGGTGATGTCAATGGAAGGAACGATTGATTGGTTGATCGATTGATGGTCAGGTTAATCATAGAATGATAATCAATTGGGGCTGTAGCTCTTGGTGATTAAGATACTTGTCTTCCAATCCCAGGAGTTTGGGTTGAAGTCGTGTCAATGACAGGATATTTACTCATGAAACAACTCCTTTCTATACTTCAAAATGTTTGCTGGCAGACCATGTAGTTAGATATCAAATCATAGCAAATGTGAAGAAGGGTACTAACCATTCCATCGAGGTATCTATTCTGATCATTTGTTTCACTCTCTATGTCTAGAGCAAGCTTTGAAATAAAAATAAAAATTATTTAGAAAGCTCAGTAGATTAGCATAACTTTCACTTCAATAAGTTGATCATTGATGAATTAATAATTTTACAGGATAAATTCAAATATATAGGAGGCTAGTGGCATATGTTAACTTTTTGAGGAAGTTGAAATGAAAATGTCCACACTGTCTTTATTTATTCAGGAATATTTAAAGCTATCATTAGGATAAGTACAGACACATATACTCACTGCAATACAGCTGGTGACATTTTCAACACAATTTGCATTCATTTATTAATCTACAGTGCTGTATTACAAATTTTACACAAGATAAACCAGAAGCAACACATGGAAATCAGATTTTTCAAATGTGTGGATAAATTTCTAAATCTAAATTATAGCATAAGTAATTTATAGGCTCTACTTATTTATTACAGACCGATTTTAAGGTTGAAACTTTTGACGCTAGGTTCTCTGATAATCTGTTATTTTCTGATTCCAGCATGTCCTCTGTAGAGGCTGCCCCTCTTCCTATAGTGAATACAATTGGAATTAAAAAAAAAAAAAACATTATATAATTTTAAAATAAATAACTGAATTACACATTCTGGTAGAGATGATGATGTATTTAATTGTAGAAAATGACAAAATACATGTTTTGTGGTTATTTTAAGGATTGTTGATAGTCCTTCAATGAATAGAAATTGAATTGACTGAAGAAAATATACAACACAACGTACTCCATACCAGCGGTGGTACCAGAAATTTGCTGAGAAGGGGTCCGACCTGTCTAACGGAGGAGGAGTCCGAGCCAAGGCGCCATCCAAGCCTTGGTCGACGGCCCAAAATAAAAGCTCACTTGTAGGGTTCATGGGGTGAGATTTTATGTTTTTATGATCCAAAACGTGCTTTTAGACCGATAATAAGGATTGGCAGTCAAAACAACGTTATTTAGATAAGCAAGTAATCATTTTTTTAAATTTTTGATCAGACAACGTAGTTGTGCGTCGGACAACATGGGGTCCAGGTCTGTCCGATGGGCGGGGGTAATGCCCACCCTGGCGCCACCACTGCTCCGTACATCATCAAGGAAATGGTCAGCCGGTGGGAGAAGGCTTCACTTTCGAATGGAGGCTTAAGCCCCCTGCCCCCCCCCCCCACTGGCACTGCCACTGCTACCACAGTCTACCATTTTTGTATAAAAACTAAAAATGCCCAGGTTGGCTTGGGAAAAATCTTCCAGTTGAGTTATTACAGTACTAGCTAGGTTTAAAAGCTTACAGCAGAAAGTTGACATCTACTACTAGGCCTAGTTCCAGGCTAGAGTATAACAACTCCCCCTGCTTACACTTCTTAGGCCTACTACAGATTGCAGAGTTATTATTAATATTCTAGTCCTACAGGTATGCCTGTGACTGTGTGGGGGGGGGGGCAACACTTTTTTTTATGCAGCATTACTTTTTGACATCTTTAGAGCAAAGAGATTAGAGCAGGAGTCTTCATCTTCCAATAGAGCTAGGCCTATAACCTACCTAGGCCTACTGTACTGTAGGTCCTGGCTAAAATAACCATGCCAGGGATGCGAGGTAGGAAGGAGTAGGCCTAGGCCTAGCCTTGGAGGAAGGAGCCCCAGGCACGTCGTAGTACATGATACAGGCCGCCTAGGAAGCGTCCCCCGCCTGGCTAGGCGTATTATTATGCCCACCTAGGCCTATATCCTTTCAATTTACTCATCCAGTAGGCAGGACAGTTTAAAGACTAGGCTACATATTATATAAAAATAAACATACCGCCTCCATTCCGGTTCATTTTGTTCGGCTGACGCTAAGGATCTTCGCAGGCTCCAACGTGGATTGTTGACGTTTTCAGTTCGATATGCCAGCTCGAGCGTATATTATAAGTTTGTCGCCCTCCCTAAAAACAAATTGCCGTAATGTATGGAACGCACTAAGGGCAACCTGTAAAGTGCAGAGCAGACTTCGTTTATTATGTAACGGATACAAAATAACATAACTATAAACTAATTTACATTCAATAAGTATCCGAGGTCCCCGTCGGGGAGAGTTGGCCCCCCCTGTTGGGGAAAATAAAAATGGCCCTCTGATAATCAAACTGTATTTAGAAAGTAGGCCTACACTAGCATGGGCGTCCGTCGATCGATGGGGACAGGGGGACACGTTCCCCCACTTTTTAAAGTAGGGGGACATCATATCAATTGTGTCGCCACTTTTCAGCAATCTTCTACATTTAAAACCCCACTTTTTCTGGAAAGAACACCAATTTACACATGCTGTCATGAATTTTGTCTGTTCACTTGTGCTTCACTTGTGCTCTTTTTCAAGTGCAGTCAGTCGGTGCATATTTCAGAACAAAACAGAGTAAACGCAGAGTCGTTTGTGCATTTCGTAACCATTTCAGTAACCACTCCATCGATTTTATGGGCGCGTTAGAGGCTAAATTTATTGTGAAAACAATGTACTGTACGTTATTAAAATTGGAAGGGAGTAAACCTATTAGGCCAACATTTTTACAAACTCAAAAGTACACAATTAAACGATTTATTCCGTTTGTATATTATGACCCGTATATACTAGTGTTTAATATTATCTGCATACACTGTAATGCCCTAACAAAGATCTATAAGATCTTTGTGCCCTAATTAATCAGATTTATAGAGGGCGTCATAACGCTGACGTATAACAAAGGTAACCATGGCGGCATTTGGAAAGAAGTGTACGTAAAGTTTCTCGTACTTAATTTAGCCTGCCTTGCCATCTAGAATCTGTAGAGTTGCGAAATCTTTAATTGAAATGTCTACAAAACTTTGGTGAGTTGATTCACGCTGTATATTGATTAAACTAAGTTAAGAATGCATAATTTAATGTTAAATAATTATAGGCAAACATTAATTTCAAGAGATAAGGATTGTCTTGGATGAATGTATTATTAATTTAAAGCTAAAATACTTTCTTTCAACATTATTGTATTGCATTATGCTATTTGTATTTTATGGTTATTTCACGTTTCAGTGAATCACGTACTCATACTCGTTGACGTTGTTCTTCTCGTATTCGATAGACGTCTCGTCATCGTCCCGTTACTACTGTGCTACTGTTATACCATTTTTCACCGTTTCATTTATCATCCTTTCTACGTTTGAACGATTAAATTTACATAACATCTTATGCTGATTCCATTGGTAGTAATTTTTAATTTGAAGTTGTTTCGCATTCTACATTCACAGATTCCTAATTTCAAGTATTATAGTTAGTCAATTGAATTGTACAGTATATAGGCCTAGCTGTTATTAAACAATAATTATACAGCCTTTGACACGGACAGGTGGTCTATCTATTTCGATTTATTTAGGAATACCACACGTTTACGAACTCCAGTGTTATGATGACGCTCAGTGGCGGATTCAAGTGTGGCCGACCCGGTCCCTCCTTAATGTTTCAATTTTTTTTTTTTTTTAATGGCGGAGAAAATTATAATTAGAATTTAGTTCTGAGAGTGCCTTTTCCGGCCATCAGAGGTGTCATAATCATAAATTTTCTGGTGGTCTAAACAGTGAAAGTCCCTCTCTGTCCTGTCCCCCACCCCCCTCTATTTCGGTTTACGGGATCCGCCACTGATAATGATAAATTAAGTAAATCTCCTTTATGTTTGTGAAATAAAAATTATAACTACTGTTGTGTGTGCTTCATATCTCCCTAGTCATGTTTGATCGTAAATTGGACGGTATTTTCCACGCACAATAGTGTAGTCGCAGTACTACTTGCGCAAAAGTGAAATTCAAAAAGAGAAGAAAGGGAAAAAGCTCTTCATTGATTTTAAAAGTACTGTACATGCAAAGAGACTATATCATTGACTGTTTTACGTTTATCTTATTTGTTTTTCATGGTTCGTCACAAGCTAATCAGTATATAATAAATCATTTTTTTTATGGATGTTAATTTGCAAGAAATATATATAAGCGGGCATGATTGCCAGAGTAATTTGAAAATGATGAATATTTCAGTGGCAGATTCACCCTTTCAAAATTTAAAAGTGGAGAAATAAAAGAAAATTATATTCAAAATTATATTAGCCTCCTCCATATCAAATTCCTGCATCCACTGTATTTTTAAAATGTAGTGTGGAAATAAAAATGTTAATTGCATTCTTTAAAATCAATTAGATACGACTTATAAAAGGCTGCAGGCGCCAGAGCTTCCGGGGGCTTCGCCCTCTGAACCCCCATGGGGCACTAGGCGGCCCCCCTTGCCCCATACCAATGTATTTTTTTTACATATTGATAGACTCTAAAATTGATGAAATAAGCCATTTGAAACCCCTTAATTGTCATATTTTCGGGGGCTTCGCCCCAATGGACCACTTTCGAAAGGTTTTTTATCAACACCCAACCATGCCCACTTTTTTTTTTTTTGTCGTCGGGGACACCAACCCCCAATTTTCATTCGAATGGTTCGTAAAATAGACTTCGTTGACCGTACGAAAATTAACGTAACCAGAATTCGTTAATCAGCATTAAGTTATGCACGTGACCAAAAAGATTATGGCCTTGGTCAGTTTAGCAACAACATTAAGCTTCAGAAAAAAAAAATTATAATATTTACCCACATTGAAGTCAAAACATAATTGTAGGCTAAATGAATTCAAAAACTGGATGAAAACATTTTTTTACGAAAAACCCATACTGCCACAATCCGAAGCAGCCCTGATTACGCTGCGTGTATCGCGGTAACTATGCAGCCTTTTTTTTTTTTGTCGAGTATTTACTAGTTTTCTATTCGACTGGTCGCCTTCGTTTAGTAGGATTTACCTCTCTGCGCAGGTTTAACGAAGAACGACTATTCAATTACGGCCAATAATTCAATACACACCCTCAACACTATATTGTAGCCTAAGAGCATAACTTTTTCTTTCTTTTATTGAATGCTATTCTGGGAATCCCACTTCCTAGTATGTTTTACCTCCTTTTAAAACCACCGTTTACACATGCAATTAATTAGTACTCAATTCTTCAACCATCATCTACAATTGGAAATTTGCTTCCCATAAATTAAAACTTAAGTCTAGTAATTAACAGCCCAAGATAAAAAATAAAAATCAGACGTATAAAAAAAGGCATTTGAAACGTATGATTTGATAATTGAAAGTTATAAAATTTAAGGTAAATAATAACATACAAAAAATTTCGGCATTAATTTTTAAGAGTTGTGATTAAAAGCGGTGAACTGTGGCATGTTTAATAAATAATTGCATTTGTAGTGCATTTGCTACAAACGATTTTCTGCCGCCACTTGACTTTTGCACTGCCACTTGACTTTGCACTGCAACTTGTAGTTTGTCCTTTTGGCGCGGTATCACCAAAATAGGCCTGCAACGTACAAGTGGCAGTGCAAAAGTCAAGTGGGGGCGCGCATTTGAGTTGCAGCACAGAGTTGCACTGCGACACTTGACTTTTGCTCTGCGCTGCTTGTGGTTTGTCCTTTTTGCGTCCTTTAGTTTTGCTGATCCACAGAGCAGCCACACGTGCATGCGTATTGCCGACTTACAACCGTCCATTTTCCAGCGGGGTGTAAATATGTTTTTAACACGACATCGCGTGTTGTAGGCCTACGTTAAATTTTCACCTACGTTTTTGGGAATCCTCACCGAATGTCGGTATGAAAACAACGTAAATTCAATCAATAAATATTGTTATCAAACGTAAATCTGATTTTGCTTTCTTAATGCAACATGCGATAGATTCGAAGAAGGTATAAAAAGAAGTTGCTGAAGGTAGACCAGGACCAACTAGTATAGGCTGAGGCCGAGCTGAATTAGGCCAAGCCGTTACGACAATACTTAGTTGGGCACTGAGGTATAATACTGTATTCAATGCTTTCTTATCAATTCAGGTAAACACTATATTTTGCCTGATAAAATACAGTGTATAGTCCGGTTTGAATAGTACACTTGCAAAAATAACTGGAAATTTCCGTAGGAAGATTCAATTGCATATTCAGGGAGTGCTACTTGTAAAAAGTAGGCGTGTTAACATGTGTTACTTTAGAATGTATTATCGAGATACTTCCTTGTTTACCCTCGATTAAATGGAATCTACCGAACGTTGCGTTACCAGACGCTGAGCTGAGGCTATAAAGAAGACGATATCTTTGTACTGGCCTGACTTGTCTGTAGGTTCACTTCCACGACTGAAATTCATAAGTATTAAATGGCAGGTGAAAAGCAAACGGACCCGCTTAGGGGATTTGCAGAAGGTATCCTTCAGTGTTCTATATGCTTTTGTGAGATGGAACAACCTAAACAACTTGTATGTGGACATGCGTTCTGCTTAAAATGCGTGAAAGGCTATTTCGCTACACAGAATGATCGACAACGTGTAGAGTGTGCCTTATGCAGAAAGAAAACCGACGTGCCATCCCATGGTCTGGAGAAACTGCCATCATTTTTTGTAGCTGAACAAGCAAAAGATTGTTTAGCAAAAGCTGATCGAATTGATGCCACGTACGGCAGAAGTTGTAGTACCCATCGAAGGAACTTAGACGTGTGGTGCACTCCATGCAATGAACTCATATGCCGTCAATGTAAGGGGCACTCAGGTCACGACACTTGTAGCCTTAATACAGCCAATGCGGAAGTCGACACACTTTTCAAGAACTATCTTAAAGAAAATTCTAAATACAAAAACAAAATCGATGAGATTAAAAGTTACAAGCTAACAATAAAACAACAAAAAGATGACAGTTTGGAAAGCTTTATCAAGCGAGCAACTGAAGAATTTGAAAAACGAGTAGAGTATATTAAAAAAGAGGCGGCAGATATTGAGAAAAAGCATCTAGGTCAACTCAACTCAAAACTTGAGGAACTTGAAGCAACTTACACCACCAGAAAGAAAATCACCAATGACTACCAGCAAGTCCACAGAGACAATATGCAACAAAAGTTACCTTATCTAAAACATCTACTACCGGGAGGAACACAAGATTTAGAAGACACGGAAGCTTTGCCATTGTCAAATCAACCTGATCCTTTTGAAAGATTATTTCAATGTTCTTTTGATGATCTCTTCCGAGCATATCGAAATTTAAGGGGTAAGTATGTTGTTTTTGTCCCTTTTTCCAGTAGCTATCCAATTAAATTACAATGTGTCTGCAAGTTCGTTATGAATCGAGGACTGCATGGATGTATCAGTAAAATGCAACTTTTAATATCCAGTACTATCTAAAAATCTTTCGTCTCCTATCACGTTAGTTTCAGCTTGAAAGTGCTGCTTTAATTAACCCCAGCGTTATGTTTAACATTTACAGGGAGGTCGTCTGGTGATATCAGAGGTGAGAAGTCTTCTATGCCACCAGATATGCTTTTACGCAGTCGTAGTGTCATTGAAGATGTCTTTAAAAATCCTGTTGAAGGAGAAAGGTCAACTGTCATAGTTAGTAAAATGAATAAGGAATACGGGAAGAGCTGGAACTGTTTCATAGCAAGAAGCGAACCTGAGCTATCCCATGGTTTTGACTATGAATACACATTCGAAGCACAAGTGGATGGCCACACGTTAGTTCTAAGTAAAGTTCCATCAGCCGATGAAAAATGTTTTCCAGACGGCACCATTTTCCGTCCAGAAATCATCAGTAGCAACGTCGACAAGGCAACTCGTGAGAGAGCTTTAAATCTGTTGAATGAGTGTCTAAACCAAGGAGGCGGGTGTACAAGAAACGATATTGCAAAGTACATGAGAAAATTTGGTGTGAATATCAGGTCAACCCGTCTGAACGAAGCTTGGCAGTGTATCGTAGCTGGAGGACATATCGCAATGCAGAAAGTCAGCAGTTCTTCCAAGCATATCTTAATCCGCATAGGTCAAGAAAGAATACTTTTATTCAAGTGATATTATACCAAAAAAATCCATCATACTGTATGATATATCCAGAGGTGACGGAACTAAAGGGTGCTGTGTTATGGAGAGTAATGTGTGACCGGAAATGGTCTGCAGTCAGTTGGTTGTTACCATGCGCCAGTGATGTTGGAGTATATAGTACAGCAATATGAAACTATTATGTAGGCCTAATGAATGAATAAAGTTCGGAGTTTGTCGGTTAATTTTAAGTGCTCCCTAAATTCATAAGTGTAAGCTAAATTACGGTGATTAATTTAATTAGCGAACATATGGAGACAATTATTTTGAATCCCTCTTTCCAAGAGGGGATGCAAATGCTTTGTGAAAATGAGTACGCCGCGGTACTCATTTTCACAAAGAAATACAGTACACACAACTGGTTAGCTAACAATTATGTCAATGTTACATGAACACCTGGGAAGGAAGGTGCAATCACGTTGTTACCTAGCAAACGTCTGTACTGTATGGGGGAGGGGCTGCTGATGTACTGTGTAGCGGGGGACGATGAGGCATAAGACTAGGCCTAACTAAGACAGTGGAATTATATGTGATAGAAAGTACACTTTTGGAAGAAATAAATTAAAATAAGAAAAAAAAAAATAACTAAGAATAATTCATTTGCAGAGGTACCTTATTTAAGTATTATACAGTGCTAAAAATGCGGCTCTTGTAGCCCTAGCTTGGGCAAGGCATCCATGTGCAAAGCAGTGGTGTTTGTTTATCCATGAAAAAAGCACGCCGGGAAAGTTTGCCTTACCAGGAAAAGGTGACGTATCTAGCTTATGACGTATGCATGCTAACTAATGTGAGTGTGACGTCACCAAAAAATGAATATTTTCTATTATAACCAAAATAACTACAAAGTTTCTGGGCGTAAATTCCCTTAATATGAATGAAGGGTTGCTCAATCTCCTTGCCATACAAATTACAGCTCCCACTGACGTCTCAGTCGAGAAATAGGGGTAGCTGAAGTTTTTCTCGCAAATCTGACTACAAAACCATATCCAAATTTCACGTTCCACTTTTGACGCTGAGGGCGGAGTTCCGGGAACCCTGCGTCCAGTATAGTGGTGCAGCCATGATATAGTGTGGTTAAGTGTTTTTAAGTAATAAAGTTTATTGTCTTTCATCAGTCCTGGGTTCAAATTGTGTATGTTTCTTGACTAAAAATAACTATTAATAGTATACTCATGTACCATATAATATGATTGTATACAATGTTCAATTATTTAAAGATAATATAAAGTTGTTAACAAGATAAATGAATATATTTATACTTATAAGCAAGAGTGTTGCAGTAGCATTAATAATATTAATAATAATTGGTGTGTGACGTGCATTAGTGTTAGTCGTGACAGAAGCAAATGGACATTTTTCGTTAAACAATTTATCAAGCATTCTTTTCATTAATCTTAATTCTAAATATGTTATTATACTGGATAATGATAAAAATAATAAAAATACTCCAAGTTACTGGAAGTGATTCTACCACTTTTCGCTGTAAAATTATGTTTAAACATTTTTTTAATACACAGTGTTCAAGTTGATAATTTTGCTTCAAAATGAGCAAGTTAATTTTAAAAAAATATTTTTATATTTTTGTTAGGTATTTTGCATGGTACAACTTCTTTAGTAAGAAATTTTTAAAAAGTATTGGAATAGATTCTATTTACATCGCAATATTGCCTACATAAATTATATAAAGTAATCAACTTGTTAATTTACGTATGTTTATCTTTAATGTCGGTGTGCATATACTGTACTGTAGTTTATTTGCATTGCAGAATCGCTGTATTAAAATATACTTGATAGTGTTCTAACAGCTGAATTTGTATATAAATTTGTGTATATATGTATATATATAAAATATATATATATATATATATATATATATATATATATATATATTGATGGTTAATCTTTGGATGCACCATTAGGTACCGGTATTGTCAAACGTGTGCCACTGTTATAAAAATAAAAGAATATCATGAATAGTGTTTTTGTGTGGCCACGAAATATTGAATTTTAATGACAATTATTGTCCAAGTTTTTTAAATATGACCATGTATGTGATGCATCACCTACGAATATTACTCATGCTGTAACTTTAACATGCTTTAACGCCACAACATATTTACGTTCTAAGTTGCTCTAACATAAACATAAATTTTTGTTAAGATGTTTTAATTGAACATTTGTGGATAACTTCTCGTTTGACCATCTGACTAATAAATTGATCATTAACCTTGACTGTTGTTGATGCCAAATAAACATGTAAGTTGAGCGATTTACTGACTAGCCTATAATTTAGTCCTCTCAGGTGATCTCAGGTAGTCTCGAGTGACAGTAACAAGCACACTCTCATGCTGAGTTGGTCTCGTTTCTTGTTTGCATGCACAATTTACAATCATGGCTTGTGTTTGATGCTATAAGTTTGGTTCTCAGTGAATTCCCTAAAACATAATCTTTTTTGCGCTCAGTGCGCGCCATACCCAATTTTTGAACACGCCTTTCATTCATGGAGCTGAGCTATACACTATACGTACAGCGGCTGTGTATACAATAAAAGTGGTTTTGTTATATGCACAGCGACAAGCAACCAATTGCAGCACACCATAGCATCACATGATTAAAAAAAGCTGGCATATAAGATCTGTTCTATCCTTATATACACAGCCGCTGTGCGTATAGCCATGTCCAGCTGAGCCCTTGGCGGGTTCAGCCAAGGGGGAGTGGCTTGTATATGGTGACGTCATGTATAATTATGCAGTCTACCAAAAAACATCACACTACACTGTGTGACCAACAGGGGCGGATTTGGGGGGCCGCCCCCCCCCCCCCTTTTTGGAAGGTTA